AACCTCACCTCGTTCGATGTGCAATGTGCGACTGATGGCGTGTCGAATGGGAACTCAGTTGCAGCATGCACAGATAGCAAAGGACATTCAAGAGACAGCAAAAAAGAGGAAAAAAATTGAACGGAAGGAAGCATCAACGAACACTGCACGTAATGCGAATGCAACGAACGCGCTGAACGATTTTCTATTTAAAGTCATTTTGTATTACCGCCACTTTGGATTCTCTTTTGCCTGCTGCACGTCGTACCCGTAGCACTCTCTTCTTTTTTCCCCAACTGTTTGTCCTGGTTTCTTGTTGGCCACAGTCGGATAAGGTTAAGCTGAACTCGTAGCTGTGACATGAGACCGAACGGGGTGGTTGCCTTCTCTGCTATTTGCTAATCGTAAGATTGTTTGTAGGGCTTGCTATTCCGCTCATGTTTCAATCGAGCGACACGTTACCGGAACTTGACATACGCAAACAAACAGTTCGGAATTGATTTGTTTTGCAAAACACAAGAATGTGTGCTCTTGTTGGCCATTTGTCTTCCTTTTTTTCACATGTGACTCAATCTCAATGTCAGATCCAAGTGTTAGAAAAGGTGTGGTTTTCACATCAACCGCTTCGTTGAAAAAACTGTTTTATGATTCCAGAATAAACGTACTTTTAAAACTGTAGATATTAAATTATCATCTTCGTTGATTAGCATCCGTCCATTAATAATAATATAAAAACTGTGTAGCGTAACAGGCAATTTTCAACTACTGTAAACTATTCTCTAAGTAAATTCATTTGTAACTGCCTTTGGGATGGCGCTAACTACACTCAGATTGCACGTCCAGGTATTTGAGTTACAAAACACAAAATGCTTATGCAATTTATTTTGTACACATCACGTTGTCACACCAATGTACACTTGTTGGTATAACACTCCACTGTTTATTTAACAGGAAGTTAAAGCAGTTATATTTGCAATCGATGGCTTCCAGAACGATGAATTAAAATTTCATTGAATTTACATGGTGAGCGGAATGTGAAAGCACAAAGTAAGGGGTTCATCGTATATTTTCCGGTGCTAGGGAAATATTGAAAAGTTTTCGCATTGAAGAGTTATTGAAACATTTATACTTTGCGTTTCTGTGTATGTGTGTGTGTGCTACAGGTCCCAGAGGGGGAAAACACGCATAAAACGAACTAATGGAAATGCGCAGAGCTGTGAGCGGTAAGCTGTAAGCTGGCCAATTAAATTTCGAGCTTGCAACTTTAAAGCTGCAGCTGAGGCACGTTCTCGCTCGAAGATTTTGTGCACAAAACCTTAAGTGGGCGCTAGTGCGTTTATCAATAAAGTGTAGCGGGTGTAGCTTGTGTGAGTTTGTTCGCCCAATTAAGTGCCAAATACACAAGTGCTTTCATAATTTGCCAACCGAAAGCGCTCATTGACTTGGCCACAGTTGGGTTTCAGGTTTCGGGAGCATATTTTACTGCCACTCATCACATACCACTATTCAGTTGCCATTCGTCAGTGTAACATCGTGCTGCGCATTGTGTTTCTGCAAACAATGCAAACTGTGCGAGCAGTTGCCACACTTAACACCCTGATGGAGTGGGGCCGGCGCACGGTTCTTGGGTATTGTTGCTCGAATGCCGTGTGCCGTTGCATACAAAGAGGCGCTTTAATTACATGAGGCAACGTCGTTGTCGCCTCCGTGTTGTTGCCAAGAAACTGGCCAGTGCTACACTGAGAAAAAGTCGAGACTAATGGGCTACCAATTCAATATTCATAAATAGAAGTGCTCGGGATTGGTAGAGGGTGAAGAAAGGGGGGGTGTCATTATTAGTAAATACTCACATTTCGCAAAAGATGCACATTTAAATTTATTTGTAATATTGAAAATATTTGGTCATGCGTATATATTTCTTGAAACGATTTTTGCTCTGTGTAGATGCTGAGGGAGCTGGTTAGTGCTCGAGTTGCCGGTTGTTATTGTTGGCCTGGCCATAACGGCTCAGCAATTAAAGTAAGTGGTACAATTTTCGTTTTGCTTCGGCCACTTGCCGTTTCAGTTGTCCCTTTTAATGCTTTGGAAGGGGAGAGGGAGATAGGGGGGAAGACTGTGTCACTCTTTTTGTGGCCCATAAATCCAGGCATTGCATTTAGTTTGCAGACAGCTGCGACTGACAGCGAGGGACGACTGCCGTTTTCGAGATTTAGCTCTGTTTACTTGTATTTTTTCATAATTTTATCGCTTACTTTTCAAGTGTCGCTGCGTTTCTGAAAGGGTCAGTGGCAAGTGCTCTTCTCGCTGCACTCATGATTAATGAGTTAGTCTTTGGGCTGCTGCCTTTTACGCTGACTGCGTGCCATCTGCCCTGAATATTTATGGCAAGTGAGCAATTAATTAAATTAGGTAATCGAATGTTCGTTCGTTCCGCTATTCGTTGCCCACACAACAGATAAATTTAGCATCAGTTTCCGTATTCGAACATGTGCGAGTCTGCCACTCGATGCCGGTATTCCTTTGTGAGGCAAATTGGTGTTTGCTTCAATTTGCAAAACATGTAGAGAAAAATATATTTATGTAAGTAAATCAATATCCATATGCTTGTTATAGCTTGCGCTGTTGCCATTGCCGTCGCTTTGATCAAATGTGCCTGTCAGTTTTCTAGGAATCCACAGCTACTAATCCAATTAGCATAGATTCGTTCGAAAATTAGAGCCTCTGTGCTCAGTAATAACACCACTTAGAGTATGTTCACTAGGTAGGACCTTAATTTGGTAACAATTTTCGGCAAATATACATATAAATAAATATGTATCTTCGGCGCATATATGAAGTCTTGCTAAAAAATATATGGTTACTTGCGCATATAAGGCGTATGAGTAATGAGGTAGAGCAGTACATATATTTTAATTTCGAAAGAACATTCTGTGCGTCATTTTTACTGTCGACGATGTGGTTGGTCAGCTGCCATAAACACACAGCAATGTACCCGCACAGCTTGCTGTCAATGAAAATTATTTTGTGGCAACAACAACAACAACATCAAATCCCTAACTACACATATAAATTGAAGTGATTTTTTCTTCTCCCTTGTGGTTTGTCTGCATCTCTTTCACACTCTCGATTCCTTTTGCCATTTTGATCTTTTAAAATTGCTTTGAACTTTGGCGTACGTAAGCAGGAAAAGTGGACAGTGTGAGTATGTAGGTACGCATAAAAAATGTATCTATCTATGCAGTCTGGCGAAACAGAACAAAAATTCCAAACTCACACGCAGCTTGACGTTTTTAAACAAAAAGTTCAAGTGTTGCTGCTATCCATTGGGAGATGAACGGCTACCAATGCGAAGCTGGAAAAACTTTCAAATAAAGCGAAACTGTCAAAGCTTTGCGGGGTACTGTGCTGGCCATAAATTCAATTTTCTAAATGGACAGACAGCTTGCTAGTCAGCCAGTCAACTAGTCAGCTAGTCAACTAGTCCACTAGCCGAATAGTCTCGCAGTCAACCTGCTGCCAGTCAACCAGTCTGATGAACGATCCTGCTTCCTTTTAGTCATATAGTCAGAGCACAATTGCCAAATGCAGCACAAAATGGACAAAATGGCTGACTACGTAAACGTTGTTACCATCAGTTAGCTGCCAACACGAGAAACATGCACATATTGTGCCATGACATGCAACTACACACCATCCTTGTAATAAGTTTTCTAGCTTAGCTTACTTTAACTATGTTTTGTTATTTTTCTCTTTTTGTCTTTGCCACTTTCTGTACATTATGTAAACGTCAAATTGAAAAAACTTGGTCATTGCAGTTTCGCAAGGGCAGTAACTTGAACCGCGACAACATGAACCAGCAAGCCAGATTCACATTTTGTCGTTCTCCAGGCAAGCTTGTCACATGTGGCGTATGCGTTATGAGCATGTGGGGGAGATTTATTGATTTTGGTTCCAGCCAAAATCTATCTATAGAACTGCCACTTAAGTAAATGTACACATAAATGAAATGAATTATTAATACCCAAATAAATAAGCATCGAAACATTAATGATGATTATGAATTTCTAAGAATAATGCGCTGAACATGATCGAAAATATAGTTACTTAAATGCAAAATATACACTTTGGTTTTGAATCACAATTCACATTTAAATTATGAAATGAAGAACAAAAATTCTTTAAATATCTGATATGAAGCCGCTTTAAAATGTAAGTAGAAGAATGCCGTCACCCTGGTTGCTTGATATTTTTTAAAGCCATATGGTCACTTCATTTTAATAAATTTATTCACTCGAATGACTAATGAAATGGCTTAAGGAAATCTGCTTCAATATCTTGCAGTCTAAATGAAATAACAGCTGCCAAGCGAAATGGCTGCTCTTGGACTGTTATTGTATTTAAGAACAAACTGGGGCTTTATGTGCACTACAAGTATAGTACATAAATGTCGGTGGTTAAGTCGGGGAGTAAACTATTGTAATTGAGGGCCGGATGGTGCTGTGGGTACTTATTATGCATTTTTCTTTTATCACCTACAAAGTGGATTGTTGGAGTTGCACTAAACTTGAGTCGATGCGCTGCCTCAAAGAGGGGAGCAGTGCTTCAAATTATTATTGAATTTAACTCTTTTGCAGGACCATCGAAACACATTTTAGGAGTCCAATTGCAGCTTTAATGTGAAAGTCAAACTGAATTACTATTTACTAAAAAGTATAAATGAAAACTACAAGCCATAGGCGCTGTGTATATAATTATAAAATAAATATATAACATGTAAGCTCGATGTGTTTAACTGTGGACCAAAAGCAAATTATGACTTTAAAAATCGTCTAAGTGCAACATTAATGTGAGACTATTTGTTATAAACGCTGTGTATAGCCAAAAAACACAATTGTTAATTAAAATTTAAGTGTACATATTGACCACAATGGAAACAGAATGTTTGGTAAAAGCTTTAATTAACGACTAAGTAAAGAGAATATTTAATGTAAATACATACACACATATATAGTGCCCACAAATAACTTTTCGCAGCTGTCAATTGTATAAATATACAACAACAGTCGTGTATTAGTCGCGAAAAACAAAATACTTAAAAATAACTACAAATCCTTCCTGATGCAAAATACTTAAATGCAGAGCCAACTGAACGTGCAACTGTAGACTGTGCTTATATATTATAAATGTTTAATATTTAACAACTGACTTTTGAGAGTCTAATTTATATACATACATAACGACCTAACATAAAAACCGCGATCAAAGCAAAATACATATTTACAAAAACGATAACTAATTGATAGCATTTAAAAGTAAAACTCCGTCAGGTAAACAAATCGCGATTGTGTTAACTAAACAAAACTATTTCTTTGGTTGCTATTCATTTTTTGGGAGCCCCCTCAGACTAAGTCGTAAATGTTGTGGTAACTGTTGTGCTGTAACTTCTTACATCTGTGTATTCGTAATTCTGCGTGCGTTGGCACCTCTTTCCCCCCTCTGTCTCTCTTTGCCCTGCCGCGCCTTCCAAACTCCTCAAGGTGATGCCATTTTGCATCATGAGCAGCAGCAGCTTAGCAGCTAAGCGTTTAAGCGGCATCGCTAGTGGCAGTGGCAGTGGCAAGAACGATAGCCTTAAGAGCCACAGTAGAGTCTGTAAGATAGCTGATTGGTTTCCACAAGTAAGTTTTATTTACTTTCTTATCATTTTAAATTGTTTTCGTTCGTGCTCACATTTCATTCTGCTGTTCACCTCGAACTCATTTTTCATTTTTGTTTGCACACAATTTTCACGCATTAAAGCGCAAAGTCCCTATCAATGTGGAATCAAATTATAATGTCAATCCTTTGGGCACACACACACACACATATATATATATCTATATACATATATATACCAGCAAATCAGACGTGTGCACAGCAAATTGAAGAGTAACAGTAGCCAAGCCATTGTTGTCCCTCTTTGTTGTTGTTATTATTACTTTTTCTATACGTGGCTTCGCTTTTCACAGGCACTCAACTGTTGCGCATTGTGCCTTTTTTTCATTTATTTTTACTTTTTTTGTCCAGCACCATGGGTTATTTATTTGTATGATGATGGGTATAAAATGACCCCAAATTGTGCACCTCAAACAAAATTTGGCTTTTTTACAACATATTCGCGTATACTTTATACACAGTACGGCTTCTCCTTTGTTTGCTTATCAGCAGTCTATTTTCTTTTCTGAATGTATAGTAGTATTTGTATAGACCTTAGTAATTGTGTTTTGTTCATTGATGAAAGCTATATCTTGACAATTTGTTTCATGAATGTGTACAAATTGTTGACAACACTTTTGAAGTTATAACTGCGTTTATTCATTGTTATTTTGTAATCGCTTTTAATGCCATGACAACGACTAAATATTCGTAGCCATTAAATGTATAAGTTTATTAATAATCAGATCATTAAAAACTTTTCACGGGCATCTAATATAAAGAAGCTTAAAGCTTAAAAACAATATATATTTCCAAGTTATATTGCATAATTCTTAATGGCTCCTCTAAGATATTCGTAAAAAGTTTTTGGCAATAATACTGCTTTATTGAATCAGAAAAAAAAGTACTTACTTTAACCATAAAAAGCCTTTAAGCATTATAATTATGTTGCCAGTTTTAGATAATTAGATAATGCTACTTCAAACACATTTGATTCAGTTACGTGTTAAAAGCAAGTGTAGGCAAGCACAATCATATACATTTATACCTTTCGATTTTAATAGAATGTCTCGCAATCTTAATGGCCAGATTCATATTCAGAAAATAATATTTAAATATACGCCGAAATACAATAAATTACAATGGTTTATTAGTAAAATAAGTAATTTAAGCAATTTTTTTTATTTTCATTGACAAATACCTTTATAAGCAAAGAATGTGCTATTTGTAATCGTTTTTACTTCGCTCTACTTTGTTATGAAAAATGTTGAAACTGATATTTTTCAGATCCTGACATAACTTATTTCCGCAACTCTAAATAGTCACCTTGCAGCCAGCAAATAGTATAAAGAAGAGTCTTGGCCAGCAATTTAAATGTCAACTGTCGATTGATAGTAAACACATTGAGTATAGAAGCACACTTTTGCCGCCAAGCCAATTCCAGAGCAAAGGCCGTGATCTGTAAATAAAAAACACCTACATATAGTTGATGGCATCTGGTACTAAGACTTACTTACCAGTCTTTTGAAGGCACTCGACTCGCGCGGGGGTGTGCGTAATATAAAAGCCGTTTTTCTTATCATTATTTCCAAATTTTCTGCCAAATTACTGGTATAATATAAATTGAGCGCGTCGATTAGGTAACTGACTATGACAAATGACCGCATTTTGATTGGAATTGAAGAATGCTGGGGTGCTGCAATAATCACAAATATTTCATATCCATAGGTTATTAAATACCAGCCCTTGCTGGCCAGTAGACACAGCAAGATGTACTGAAAGGATTCACCCATCAAGCTATGCAATGCCAGTATCTTAAAGAATTGACGTTTCAGCAATAGAAATTTGGCAGATTTTTCTGATTTCCAAGACTCTCGAATGCTGCGCGGGCACAAGAGTTGCGATAGCTGGTCATTGAGCAGGCTGCAGCTACGACAAATCTGCCATAAAATGCAGTAGTATTCGAACATAATAGCTACAGAAACATTGACTAGCAGCATGGTGGACGTAATGTCTAACATATAATTCTTGGGCCGAAAACGTTTCAGATACAAGGGGTAGAAAAGCCAAGTCCGTATCAGAGTAAGCAGAAAAAGACCAAGCTTGATGTAATACAGGTTGTTCAATTTCATTAATTTCCGCTTCCTTTTGCCAGTCATAGATTGTTCCCAGGCACTCAAATATCTATTTTCCAAGTGCAGCAGCTCTCTTAATATCCTGAGCACATGGCGTTTTCGTTGCCAACAATTGAAAATGCACAGCAGCAACACAATACTTAGCATGGTAATATGAACAAATAATTTCTCATCACTATGGTAGCTACAAATCAAATAGAGAGCTCCGACACAGGCAAGGCAATGATGCATTACGCAATACCACTTCCAAAAATTCAAACGAATGAGCTTTTTGTCTGCTGACCCGTAGTTGAAGGCGTTGAGTCCATTGAGCGCTAGGTAGTAGCCAATCAATGCGTATAGACTGCCTCTTGAAAGTCCCATGATGTTAGCGTGCGCAAAGGCCTAAAATCGAAATAAAACTGGCATTGTGCTTCGCAGCCAATCGAAGTTTATATAATTAGCAGAAACCAGGCACTTCATATCCTTTGCACACGCAATGCATGCCTACATTGAGTTTGATTAGTTTTCATTGTGCTTTGGAACACATGGAAGAGCTTGTTGTTAACTGGCGAATTATTTGTATCTTTTTTTATTTTTCTGAGATAATAAGCATCGTCTTGATGAGAAACATTATAATTTGTATTTTTTGGGCTCATTACTTGCATTTTCGAAGATAATGATTATCAATGTACAATGTACAGTGACCTTTTTAGGTTTTCAAAAAATTTTCCGTATTTTGAAAGTCTTTTAAATACTCTACACCTTAGATAAAATTTAGGAGCTCATAATTACTTGAAAGTCTTTGCTGCCGGATTATGATCAAGAGCCACTCTCTTTCTTTTAGGTATTAAGGATAGATGATTACGAATATATTGAGTGAGCTTTTTATTGTTTCACTTTTGATGTCAGCATTTGTTAAACTTTCTCCAGTGAAGCGAACTTTCTCGTTCGCTAAAGCATAACAATTGTATTGAAGCAAATTTAATACCCTTTTGGGAATAAATATTTAGATAAAATCAGCAAATTATGTGTGATTGGCATTCGCCATTAATTCGCACTATTTTTTACGTGATAAATTATTTGTACAAGAGCACTTTGGGGAATATAAAAAAAAATTAAATGCAGATGCATATAAGCAGTTGAAAAGTACAAACAAAAAATTGGCCCCACAAACATTTGCATAATAATTATGGTGTGACAATATAAACAAAAAATATTCAAATCCTGCGGGTAACATGGCAATGGAAATAAAATTGAAGACACTTTGAACCGGTTGCGTCAATGCCCAAGGCCACAAGCATATTAAAATTTCAAACACAAACATATCAAGGCATCGGGAACAAAACAAACAGAAAGTAAAACCATAGTAATGACAACCGTATTGGCAAAAACATAAAATAATTCTATGCAAGGCCATTCAATTTGATTTTAATCAAATAAACTCACACGCATATGGGGCCATATTTAAACGCTATCAATGCTATTGGTAACTGAGGATTCTTTCGAAAAAAAGTTTTCCATATAGCGCCTACTGCTGTTTATTTGCTCGTCTCCAGCATGTCAAATAAATCAAACTATGGCCTTTTGCCGGTCATTCAATACATTTATACCAATAATAATATTGTATAATCATAAGCTTTTTTATGATTCCAAATATGCGAAATTATGTTGGCGAAATAATTGCAAAATAAGCGAAACGAAATTGTTCAATTTAAAAGATGTGCACAAATGTTTATTTTGCATAGGTAGCGATCGCCGAGATTTACAAAGTTTATGCTGGTAGACGGAAAGCTAAGCTTCTCCGTACCAGATGCGATAACGAAAAACGAACTTGACTTGCAGAGTTAGCGACAATAACTAGTACATATGTGGCGGCTGCGCAGCAGCCTATGCAAATTTATGGCAACAAAAGGAAACGTTAAGTGCTCGGCTTGCTATGCAAAGCAAGCGACAAGAAAACGAGCACTTTGCATTGAGTTATTTACGTTACTTATTAACTATGATGTGCTGCTGGTTTTGGCTGTTTTTGGCCGGATGACCAAACATACTCCCCCTGTTGAAGAACCAGGGTCTTCAACAACATCTTGTTTCGGCAGCGGGCATAATTTGCGAACGGCTCGCCGAATGGTTCCAGTGGAAGTCCTCAATTCTGCAACTCTCGACACGCCATCTGCGCCGCTGATGAGGCTGACCACCCTTGCTAATGGCCATTTGAGGGGCGGCAAATTCTCGTCCTTGACCAGAACGACATCATCAATGGAGAGTCCAGGCTGCGACACTCGCCATTTTGAGCGCTGTTGAAGAAGCGTCAAGTATTCTTCACGCCAGCGAGCCCAAAATATCTGCTGGTAGTACGTCACGCGCTGCCATCGATCCAGCCGATTGAAATTGAGCTTCGTCAGATCAGGCTCAACGTACGTTGACAGCGGAGCAGCACCAAGAAAATGAGCTGGAGTCAAGACATCGAGATCTGCTGGATGTTCTGAAAGGGATAACAATGGGCGAGAATTAATAATTGCCCCGATATGGCATACAAGCGTGCGCAGTTCATCAAATTCGAGCAGCGATAGTCCGACGGATCTGTAGAAATGATGCTTGGCAGTCTTTACAGCCGCTTCCCATAGACCACCAAAGTGAGGCGAGCGCGGCGGAATGAAACGCCAATCAATACAGTCAGCAAGGCAAAATTCTTGCACAGCCTGCAGGTGCTCGCTGGATTCAAAAAGACGCTTTAGCTCAGCCATCTCGTTCCGTGCGCCAACGAAATTTGTAGCGTTGTCAGACCAGATCCTCGTAGGTCGACAGCGCGTCAAAATAAAGCGTTTAAGTGCATTTAAGAATGCTCCGGTGGTTAAATCCTTCACCAACTCCAAATGCACAGCCTTGGTGGCGAAGCAAATGAAAATGCAAATATAGCATTTTATTGGTGCCTTATTGCGGACCTCGCTTTTGTAGAAAAACGGCCCACAAAAATCCACACCAGTGACCATAAAGGTATGTGAAGCATCAACTCGATCCTTTGGCAGGTCAGCCATAACATGCTCCACAAGACGAGGCTTGGCTCGAAAACAAATGGTGCATTTGCTGACTACGCTGCACACTGTTTTCCGACCGCCAATTGGCCAATACTGCAACCGAATTGAGGCCAGCAATGCACGAGGTCCAGAATGCAGATTACGGACATGGTAGTGCATAATGACTGAACGCGTGACTGGATGACGCCTTGGAAGTATAATTGGATGCTGGGCTTCAAAGTCGAGCGCAGAGTTACTTAGACGGCCACCAACGCGCATCAATCCAGAGCTGTCGAGAAACGGAGATAAAGAAAGACAGGAGCTAGACGATTTCAAAGTGTGTCCGGCCTGCAAGGTCTTGTATTCGTCCCGAAGCGTAGACATTTGAATTGAGCGCATCAACAGCAGTGTACCATGACGGATGCAGTCCACCGATAGCCCAGGAATTCGTACACGGTGCAGGAACTTGTATACATATGCAAACACGCGCTGCAGCTTTCCAAATGTGTTAACATATTTGCATTGCTGTGCAATGTCTTCGCACAGTGTGGTGCTTACAAACACTTTAGAGCGCTGCTCAGGAAGCGACGAGACGGAATTGCAAGACTCTGGCCAAGAAGATTTATCTTTCGTCAGAAATGCGGGACCATGTAGCCACAAGTTGGACTGGACTAATTCGCTGGGCAAAGCTCCACGTGAAAGTATGTCCGCAGGATTTAAATCGGTTGGAATATATCGCCATTCCATGCCAGAGGTCAACTCTTGAATAGTTGCGATGCGATTGGAAACGAAAATTTGAAACCTGGATGGCTCGCTGCGAATCCAAGATAGCGCTACTGCAGAATCAGACCAACAATAAAACTTGCAGTCGAATAACTCCATACGAGATATTTCGTTTATGAGTTGTGCCAGCAAAACGGCTCCGCACAACTCTAGTCGGGGCACGGTCAACGATTTGAGCGGCGCCACACGAGATCTGGAACACAGCAGCTCCGCACGAGATTGGCCTTGCGTGGTCGAAATGATGTACACGCAAGCTCCATAGGCATCTATGCTGGCATCACTAAAACCATGCACTTCAATGGAAACACCAACAGAAAGTGCAAGCCTTGGAAATTTCAGCTGCTTTGTGCGCTCAAAATCTGCAATAAGATTATGCCAAGATGTTGTCAATGATGCTGAAAGGCTTTCATCCCAATCAAGCCTTTCTCTCCAAAGCGCCTGCAGGAATATCTTAGCCTTTGCGATTACTGGTCCAATAAGGCCAAGCGGATCATAAAATCTGGCAATAGTTGACAAAACAGTGCGCTTGCAAATTCGACCAGATGTCAATGCTGGCAGAAACGTGAAAATGAATAAATCCGTCGCAGGATCCCACGACAGTCCTAGAGTTTTTGTTATGTCGCTGCCATCATCAAACTTAACTAGAGTTTCTTTGTCTTCTTCCGGAACTTGTTTGAGCACATCAGGATTGCTGGAGCACCACTTCCTTAGCTTGAAATTAGCCTTGGCAAGTAGCCCTGTGGTTTGTCTCATAATTTCTATGACTTCGTTTGTAGAAGCACCACCAGTGATTAAATCATCAACATAAAAATCGCGGCGCAAGATATCGGAGCCAATAGGAAATAGCTCATGCTCATCTTCAGCCAGCTGATGCATAGTGCGAACGGAGAGAAACGAGGCAGGCTTTGTACCGTAAGTGACGGTATCAAGACGGAAAACTTGAATAGGCTTTTGAGGCGAGTCACGCCATAGAATGCATTGAAAATAGCTATCCGGATTTGATACTCGCACGCAGCGGTACATCTTGCAGATGTCTCCTGTTAAAGCGATAGGAAACGTGCGAAATCGAAGAAGCGTGTTTGCGAGCTTTGACTGAATGGAAGGACCAGCCATTAGGATGTCATTTAAAGAATGACCAGAGGATGTGGATGCGGAACCGTCAAACACGACTCTCAACTTTGTCGTTGTGCTGTCCTCCTTCAGAACGCAATGGTGCGGCAGGAAATACTTGCACAAATTTAGCGAAACTGGCGATACAAGCGACATATGACCCAACTCTAAATACTCCTTAATGAATGCAGAGTACTGTGCTTTGAGAAGTGGATTGCGTTCTAACTTTCGCTCCAAGTTTATGAACCGACGATAGGCTTGCGTATAGGAATCGCCAAGCAGATCTGTGCTGAGCTTTACAGGCAATCGGACGGAATACTCGCCAGTACGCAGGCGCCTGTAATTAGCCTTGAAATGCTCCTCGCAGTCGAACTCTTCTTTGGTGAGTTTTACAGCCGGATCGACACCACTTTCGAGTTCCCAAAAAGAGCGAACCATCTGCTCGATTCGTGTATTGCAATCCTGTGTAGACGG